ACTCGGTTAGTACTGAATGATTGGATACAGCTATCCTTACCTGTTACTGGTATATTACTCCATTGGTTTCAGAGGGTCGATGTAAAGCATCCTTCTTCAGAGAAAGACAGAATTTGGCTCCTTGAGAAATTGGTATGTAATGCATGAATCAAAACCATAAGGTACTGAAGCACCTGGCTGGACTGGAGTTGGTGGAAGAACATTGAAAAAAAATATTTCATGCTTGTAACGTGGGCCAGCAGAGAGGCTCTCGCCTTCTGTGCCTGTAACAGGGATGATTATACAGAACTTCCTTTTCAGCACTTTAAGATCTCTAATCCAAGTTTGTAAATACCAGGTTACACCATACAGTCTATGCAGGTGTAGTACTTACACAGCTCGAGGCGGTGGGAAAAGCACAGGTCTACCCACATCAAAGCACCTTCATTGGGGAGCTGTTTCTGTATCCAGATAACTAAGAGTGGAATGAAACCTGTACAGCTTTACAAGCATCGCTTGTAGGATCCTTGAAGCCTTCTCATGCTTAGGAACCTCCACTCCACCCACTGCCTGGCCCATCTTAGCTCCCGTGTTTCAAGGAACTGAGAGCCCAGCTGCAATGCCTCCTAATCACATTGCATTGCAACTTCTTCTCTATGCCTCCGCAGGGAACTGCATGAGTGAGTTCATGGGACTCATCAAAGGCCACTACGAAGCAAAGGAGGAAGGTTTCCAGCCTGGAGGGGCCAGCTTGCACAGCATGATGACTCCTCATGGGCCGGATGCTGACTGTTTTGAGAAGGCGAGCAAAGCCAAGCTGGAGCCCGAGAGGATTGCAGAAGGGACCATGGTAAGGAGCCAAGGGAACCAGTAAGATTTTGAACACAGCATGGCATAGTGTTGCTGTGCCACTCTCCAGGTACAGCCTAGCTTCTTGCTGGTAAGTTGGAAAGGTACTTGGACCAAACTGCTGCAGCATTCACCTCCCTCACTGATCAGCACAGTTCAATTCCCAGGAGCTTCCCCAGAGATGAGTGATGCCAGGCAGCTTTGATCACCTGCCCACATAAATTGTTGCCTGAGCTGGAAGCGGGGAATTTTCATACTAATTTAATTTTTGTCTTAGCCTATGGACAAAGAAGCAAAACCCCTGACTGTCCTCCTCTTCCTGCCTCCTAAAATCTAATGATCATCATCAACAGACCTTGAATTAGAGCTTTTGGAACACCCTGGCTTTCCTGAGCATACAGGGAGTCCAAAGTCACTCCTCAGACCTGGTTAATACGGGCATTGCAATGCCAGCTCTGAAGAGCTTTCTCCCCCTGGGTTGATCAGGCTGGTGGCAGGACTTGGCAGTGCTGGACCATGCAGGCAACTCCTGTTAGTGGTAGAGCAGAGCCACCTTGCCTGGATTTAAACTCTCGCTCTCTTGCCCTAACCTACCTTCCCTCTTCCCAACAGGCCTTCATGTTCGAATCATCCCTCAGTCTCGCTGTCACCAAATGGGGCCTCCAGACCTCCAACCACCTAGATAAAAACTACTACAAGTGCTGGGAACCTCTGAAAAGCCATTTCAACCCTAACTGCAAGTAAAGAGAAGAATTTGTTCCTTGCAGTACATTTGTGAAGGCAGAGAAATCCAGCAGAGCTACATGTGATGGCACAGTTGACTCGGGCAACACAGAGTGCTCCAGTACAGAATGGCATTTCCAGCAACCACCGAGCCATGAAAATGATCATTCCTATGTAACCTTGGAAATGCACTAAAAACCCCACCATTATTCTTAACTTTCAAGTATCCAATTAAAGCTTTCCTGGTGACATGCTGAAAAGTATTTGCACGGCTCTCACCAGATGTAGTTGGTGTGAATGCTGTACCTTGTGTGGACATGAGATGACAGCCAGCGCCACTCACAGGGCCTCCTTAAAATACAACCCAGTGTGTCCTTCACGGGGAGAAGCTAGGGTACAACAAAGCATTTTATGCTGCCTGTAGGGGAAGAGCTTTGCAACAGAGCTGGAGGCTCTACCAGACATAAGCCTCCTATTAGAGCAGGCCACTTTAACCTGCTGGTTTGGGGAGGGTTGCCAAGGAAAGACTTGTCAGAAAAGTAGACTGCCAATTAGAAAAGGTTGGAGAATCCAAAGCACTTCATTGCTAAATGAAGGAAAGCTCCCTTTCCAACCCCATGCTCTGGCCATCCTTCAACATCAACTTGTTTGTCAGCACTTGACAAATTGTCTCCCTAGTTAAGTGCCAATGTGCAGCACAGCGAATGTAAAAGGGCTTGTCTGGCCAGTGCAGGCATTCGCTCCCAGGAAGGTACATGGAAGAAAACACAAGTGCAGGTGACATCGTGGAGGACCTCAAAATTCACTGGAGTATGGAAGTTGGTGAGTTCCACAGGGCAGAAGCAAAAAGGGAAGCCCCAAGTAGGGTGGGAACCAGGAGCACAGCCCAGGCACCCCAAATCTCAGGCCTGCACTTTAGCACGTACCCACATGAAGCAGTTACTAACCTTGGTGCCATCAGGATCTGTTTCCTACTTCCCAAGAGAAATAATCTTCAATTTTCCAAAAGAGAAGGTGATGTAGAGCTGCAACACCTAATTTCAGTCAGTTACATCCATTCTCGGTTTTGGATCTGTACCAGATCCTTAGGGGAAAAAAAGCATCAGCTTTAAGCAAGTATTACATTATAAAATCTACCAGGGTATATTTTACTCTAAAATAGTCAGCTCAGAAAAGGACATTCAGGAGAATCAATTTGCCAGAGAAGCTGATTTAATCAGACTGATCCAGAGATAAATGAGGTCTAAATGTTTCACAGGCAAAGGAGAAAAGCTTGTTTTCTGTTTGGGACCTCAATTATCATCCAGTGACCTAAGGTTTGAGTTTCTCTTGCTATAGATTCATCACTGAAGTAGACATGGATGGTAACGTATCAGTCAAGGGTATAATTCCACAAGGCACATTCACTCTCCTGTCTTCACCCTAAACTTCTGAAGGGAAACTCCCCTTTCCCTTCCTCTGTGCACCCAGCACCACTGCCTCAAACCACCTACCCCACCTCCAGTAGCACAGCACGTTTGCTCCTTGCAAGAAAACAGCTTGGAGAGCTCGGCAAACAATGAGAGAGAAAAGTAGGGCAGCCTCTCCCAAAGCACCACACTCAAATCTGCAGGGACATAGCATCAGACACTCTCATCTGCAAAGGAAAGGGCCGTGGCAGGTGCTGTGAGCATCAATCCGAGGCTGGCCTAGAAGACTACAGGCATGGCGCTCATCTATACCCAACCCCAAACCATTTGCTCAGCTGGCCTGAAACAAATACAGCTGCAAGGGAGAATTTACACATGTGGCAACTCAAGTTCCAATTAGCCAAGGAAATAGGTCCTGGGAGATCAAATTAGTTTGTGGCAGCAGGAAGATAGTTAATTTACCATGCTCAGACAAGCAATTATTTCTTTCCCTAAATACCACTTTCTCCATGCATTGATGCCTCTCTGCGCTGACCCACAGCCCTATCTTGTAATATGACTCATGACAGTCTTTTAGAAGCTGTTCTGCAAAGAATAATCTGGGTTTGCTTTAGTTAAACTAGCAGAAGAACAAGCTGCATACGCAGCTGCAAGAGTGCTGCTGGGAGCACACATGGGATTGCATAATCAGGCCACAGACTTGCACAGCTGATGGCACTCATGCTGTGTGTAAGTCCCCCATGGCCTGAATGTTTCATGACCCAGGCAGGAAAAGGAAATACTGCAACAGGAAAAATTTTTTAAAAATAAAACAAAATTGGGAAACACATTTTTACTGTGAGGGTGACCGAGCACTAGCACAGGCTGCCCAGGGAGGCTGTGGAGTCTCCATCCAAAAGCCACCTGGATGTAGACCTGGACAACCTGTTCCAGGTGGCTCTGCCCGAGCAGGGGGTAGACCAGGTGACCTCAGGGTCCCTTCCAACCTCAGCCACTCTGTGAGGATGTGAAAAAGCTCAACTCACTCTGTTGTAGAGGGACTGCAAATGGCCGATGTTTACAACCTGATCATGCAGGAGAGGGACTTGGTAGAGCTGCTTTTGCTGACTTCCCCATAGGCTGATGTCCCAGCAGGCAGAGGGAAGTTTTCAGCTTTTCCACCAGATCAAGCTTTTGGCATCGAGATCAGCATTTGGGAAAAAACTGCTCCCATACACTGTCTGAAGAATGAGGGCTGTTATTGGGATCATGATGGCACCTACAGGCCATGTGAAAATTCCAAGTCTGAATCAGAAATCTTTTCCTTGCACTCACATTTGGGTACTTTGACAGTAACACCTCCAGAACCCCCTATACCAGTTGACCTGGGCAGAAAAGACTTGTGTTCTTCTAAGAATAAACAGAGAAAGCATCTTTGCAGGCTTTTTTTTTTTTTAAATCATAGCCCATTTGCAGGAGTGAAAGGGAATTCTCCTATACTGTAATAGAATCAGCATCAAAAATAAAAATCCTCATCTTTTTACTTCTTGTCTCCCACAGGAATCACAGAATTGGTCAAAATGCTACTCACATATAGCATGACAATGTTCAGCTCACTATTTCCAAGGCTGGCACAGTAATTTTACCCAGAAGTTTATTGCAATGAACAAATACACATTTTAGGCTTATATTATAGAAAAGAAAAATTAACTCAGCTTATTGAGAGAAGGCAGGCAGGCTCCTGAAGTTATTCAGAGTGTATCACAGAACTTGCCTATGATCTGATTAGGGCAAACTACATAGTCAAACTGACACCAAGAAGAAATGCTTGTAGACAAGCAGCAGTTCTGTACAAAACTCCTTTGGGCTTCCTTAACATTTTAGCCTGCTACTAATTTTGAACTTCAGCAGTAACTTTCACAGTTTAAAAGAAGACTCTGTATGGAGACCAGAAGAGTACACTGGTTGAGTTCAGGGCACCACCTCTGTATCTATCTGTGTTAAGACATAAAGACCCTGAGTTTTTGCACTTTCCATAATTGCTACAGATGCAAGACAACCAATGAGCAATTAAGATTTATTCTTATGAAGGAGAAACATCATCACACAATTTATCTTGTTTTATTGATATGCCATAAACAGCACTGCAATTCCAGGAACTTACAACATACTCCATGGTCGCTTGTATTTACCCTCTTGGATAAGCTTCTCTTTACGATCCTGCAGAAGAGAGAGAACATTCATCATTATCCTAACAGAGAAGCTGTTTCACTGAACCTAGGATAAAAGAAAAGCAGCTCTAATATTTCAACATGGACTACAGGAAGATAGCAGCACATATGATCTTAAGGGTCTTTTTCAACATAAACAATTCTGTAGGCACAAAACTCTGGTAACAGCTGTTGTGGTTAAAAAGTAAAAAAGAACAAGGCATTTAGCTTCACCTACCAGCTAAGGAAGATGTGCTCAGATTGACCTCTCTGTCTATCTAACCACCCTCACAGGCCAGCAGAGACCAATTCCTGTGATGTATTTTTCACCAAACTAGTTGCATCGCTTAATTTATACATGTAGTTTCTACCTCCTCCTTCTGGTTGAAAATAATCCAGTTTGGAGATCTAATTATGGAGAAACTTAGTGACTTGCCTATATGTGCCTGTGTTCACTTTCAGCCTTTTTGTGTCTCACTGCAGTCATGTACCTTTCTGACAGGTATTGTTACACTACATGGACACTGCAGATACTGCCCAGATTCCTTCTGCTGGATAAAACCAAGAGACTTGCTTAAGGTTTAGCAATTTATCTCTTGTTTTCCCAGAAACACAACAAACACTCCTCAGAGAAAAGAGTATAATAGGTACAGTGCTTTATATACTACTAGATAACCAAGAAAAATCCCCAAACATCAGTAAAGGAGCTGGAATAAAAGAAAACAGACTGTTCTGGAGACTACATTAAAGACTTCAGCTTAAATATTCTCAGGCACAGGTTTATTTTCAAGCACTCGATGCTAAGTCACACTAGGTGGCTAAACCCAGGTGTACCTTCACGAACAAAACAAAACCAGCATGACAAAATACTGCAGAGATGCTGAAGTCTCAAAAACATTTATATTAACATGCTCTGCATGTTTCCCAGAACCTGTATTTTTGGTTCATCCTAGCAAACAACATCCTCTACAAATATTCTATTCATTTTAGCTGATGCTCGTGCTTCTCTGTTTTATGCCTTGATCTAAAAATGCTATTATTGTGCAAAACAGGGAAAGGTTTTACAATAGCCACAAATTCACTAGTAAAAACAGCCATTGTCTGCGAGTCACCTAGCATCTTCTTATTTATGTACATAACCGAGTTTTTTTCAGAATGATCTACCATTGCTCAGATGCTGATGCCTGCAATTCAGGAATTTGGACAGAAGCAAGATAAACCTTCCAACATCTTAAACATCCAGCTGAGACCAGACGCTGCAATCAGCATAAGTACTCCTCACCATCTGCTTCACGAGATTAGAGAAATGGTCAAGCACATCACAGAGACATTTCTAGGCCTGTCACCCATTAAGCTCCCTATTTATTTTAGAAAGTGCAGTTACTGCATGTCAGCAGCTGAAAATAGTCTCTTACGATTAGTTTACACTGTCAGTGCCACCAAGAGCTTTATTACATACAGCAAAATATCCCGCTCAGGGAAACTGTGACTGGCCATACCCAAGGGTACAATACAGGGCTCTCAGAACAACAGGATCTGGCAACCAGTTATGAGGCTTTGAGATCGCAGGCTCAGCATCACCCTTCCTTCCCTCATTACTTTAATGGTGCAAGAGAATCTCATCAATTAAGTCTCCAGGCAGATCAACATTTTACAGCTCGGTGTTTACCTGACGTTCAGTGCCATCAACTGACTTACCCTGTCAGCTTTGAAGACAGCAATCCAGAAGAGGATAGGGCCTATCGCATAAAGAGCTCCTAGAAAGGACGTCTTAGGTGTCGGGCGGGAAGTAGGGTAGACGTTCTGCGTCCTAGCATAGACCCAGCGGATCAAGGCAGGATCTTCCTGGGTTGGAAAGAAAACCGCAGTGAGGCCCCAGAGGCCTTGCAACGGCCGCTCAACTCAGCGCGGCCCGTCTGTCCCCGCCGCTGGGCTGGGGCCTACAAAGGCCCCGGGAGCCTCCCGGCCCAGCCAGTGAGGGCGTCAAGGTCACGGGGAGGGCAGGGCAGGGCAGGACAAGGCAGGGCAGCGCCCCGCCCGCATGGCTCCAGGCCTGCCTGGGCCCTGCTCCGGGACGCCGGGTGAGGCGGACAAAGCCCTCGCCCCCATCCCGGGCGCCCCCTCCCTCCCCACTCACGATGATGGTCGGCCGGTTGGGGTGGTTGAGCTGCAGCTGGTACTGCCGCTTGAGGCGGGCGCGGATAGCCAAGCGTTCGGCCTCGGCACGCCGCTTCTCCGGCGACAGGTCGTAGGTGTTGGGG